AATGCTTCTAAGCGACTTTATTGTAACTGCGCACGGATGTAACAGACACCAATTTTACCGAAAGAGGATTCATTCGCTCATTGTACTCTTTTTCCAACTTTGTGGTTCCAAAGTGAAAGTGGAATGATAATTAACAGGTATCGACAAAAATGTAGTCCGCCGATTGAATGACCACGTGTCGACCGGTATCGCACCTTACATGAGCTACGGTGAAGACTGTCTTGATTTGATTGTCCAGTTTTCACTTCTCTGCACACGCATGTATTCCTACTGGGGCCAAACTCACCTTAGAGCATGAATACATTTGCCATTGGTGTTCGAGTGACAAACAATCCGCGAGGTATTTGAAGAAAGCTCATTTAATTCTCATCATTATTTTGCTTGTGCGTACCGTCATTCTGGTGTGATGCATTATTCTCTGTTTTCGGGGATATTGCTAAACTATATGCTCACTGAAGGCGTTTGATCTTAATGAGTTAAGCGTTCGCTATTTTTCCGTTGGTAACAGTTCTTATCCCGTTTTAAATATGGATTTTAAGGTTATTGGCTATTTTGATGTCAAAACTAGGAGATGAAGTGTGTAGGGTCCTTGCAATGGGTGGGAACCAAGGAGCCGACCAGATATTCGGAGGACCCAAAGCCCATTCCAATCTACATGACGATTCTAAAGCACACCTATTCCTCTCAGTCTAATCAGTTGTATTTTCTACATAAACGCTACAGCCAAGGCAAGTGGCGAAATTTAGAACAAGTAACTATTAGAAATCGAGTCCAATGGCCTATAACTAGATATCCGGTCTCAGGTACTGATGTTCGAACGGGATGTGTATAGGTGAATCTGAACTCCGTCCAATAGAAAAGGGGGAGTTTAACGTGAACAGATTTTTGGGGGATAATACTCACCGGCCGGAGCAGATCTCACCAAATCCCGATTTCCTGTGGTGGTAGCTGTAGCTGAGAAAATACGTAATATTTTACGAGCTATCTGAACAAACGCCCGGCATTGTGACGAGTAAGGTGGCAAACGGAGTTTTTGAGTCGGAGAGTGTAAGCATCCGGATGTGGTCATCATTCTGCTCCTGTTCCAAGGAGCAAGAACAGTAAGTATCTCGATTGTCGTTTTTTAGGCTTTGAACTCCTACAACCGCTGGGGAAATTTTCCTTCTTCCCCTGCAGTTGGCCAACACCAGTTGTTTACAATAATGATAGTGGGTTATCCAAACCAAAGTCAAATAAACTCACATCTTGGAACAAAGACGGTTGTCGGCTGACGTGCTAGGGTGGTAAAAAATGAAAAGTTAAGCAAGGATTGGCATTTGAGTTGAGCACTAAATTTGTATAGTGGTTTGTGTCTTACATGCAAATATGTTTGGGCTTTCTGGTTTCACAAACAGGTCGCCGCATCGGTAATGAAAACTGACTCTAACATAGTGCACTGCACCTAATTATAATTGAGGTCCATCTCAAAATAAATTTATTAAATTTACTAGAAATAACAGTATCCTAAAGCCAAATCGAATTACCCAGTGAAATTTTATTCACAGGTGACCAGTTTTCGACAATATCTTATCAGGGGCCTTAATCACTGAGTTATGTGGTCATCCGAACTTTCGAGAGCACATGGTCCCAAACAGACTAGCCGTTTCAAATATTCTCTCTTTTAGCAATTTACTTATAACGTTTGTGCCGATGAGTCTATATGATTTGCAACATATCATAAATAATACATTTGGATTCACAGATAATGTACCAGACGTCAGCGTTTTACCCCAATGGAGTCATTCATTCGGACAACCTACTCATTTCATATAGATTCCACCAGTTTCCCTGGAGTCATCATACACCATGCTGCACCAAATGTTTATTCTGACGCTGCCTCATAAATATATTTTGACTGCGAGATATTTTCGCCCATACATTCTCGCATTTTTAACTAGCTTTACTCAAAATGTGTACTTTCCGAGGAAAATATAACATCTCTTCTTGTTTTAAACTCTAATCCCCTTATTTTCCTGAAGGTATGCAGCCAGTGCTCTTTGTCCTTTTTGTTGAGGATTGTTTCCGCCTGCAACAAAAACACTTTTTGAGTCAAACATGAACTGAAATCTGGTACATAGGACTCACCAACCGGAGCAGATCTTACCAAATTCCGAGTCTCTGTGTTCGCGGCTGTAACTGAAGAAATATGTCGTGCTGACGCACCCATCCCCGAGGATTCAATGCATAATTCTAAAGTTAATAGCTCGCGAACGCTTTACACCATAAAATATTTCCCTTGAACTCAGGTCTTTTTTTCCCAGTGGAACCGTTACAATATAACATGAACTACATTCATTGCTGTTGACGAAGTGTACCTTCCTGAGGCGTTTCTGTTGATGGAATGGAGTAAAGTATATTACGAAGATAGTTATAATTTGGTCTCACTGTTGGCCTGTATTCATTTTGCTGCCGAAATGGGTAGCATCGCATTAGGATTGTAGAAGCAAGCACCGTACATCCGCGAAATCAGCACTACTCGGTGGAAAATGTCAGGTGAGATAAATCCGCTTGACCTCTAACCCAGTGGTTGAAGTATAAATCGTGGAAACTACTCATAAGGTTGCTGAAAAC